GAAAGAGAAATGAGCACAATTGGTAACTTACATATCACCACCAAATCAGTCAACCAGTTTGTGAAGGCGATCGTAATACGTATAACGATCTTCCTTATTAGCCTGCTACATTTGTAGTGGAGTTTTTGCATGATAAACGCACAGATAGGAAGCGATATTTTAACCAAATGTTCACGTGGTCTCGCTCCATTTGGAGTTTCCCACTGGTCTGTATTTGTTTTCATCTTGATTTGTATATTCTAAATGGATCTACAAGATTTAAACTATGAGAAAACAACTGTTGTTTTTAAATTCTAGCCAAATTTATTGTCTAATTTGGATTTCACCTTTGTTTTCCGCAACATTGACGGTATAAACGACAGTGGGTCCATATTGGTAAAATGGATAGACGCTTGTGCGCACAAGGAAATAGTTTAACCACATTACATTGTGTGCCTGTACTTAGCAAAGACTTTTGAACCTTTTGTCTTTGTTAGTATGTATATTGTGTTGGAGAAGTCGGTTGTGGGTAGTTGATGTGGTCCGTGTTGATGTCCATTCATTTTTTCCTGTCATCTTCCTTTTTATGTATTACTAGTGAAAAGTTTCTTGTATATGACGTATCTTGCATACACATAATGCATTTGTTATGTTTAGTTAATGTTATCTTCATGTGGATTTAGGTATACCACATTTATAACATGTTGATTGACCACTGTCATCGAGGCTATCAAGGCGCTGTAGTTAGTGCTTCGGTACTGACATGATAAATGACTACCTTGCTTAAAGACATTCGAAGATAAATTTGAAAATAAACTACATAAAATTACAATTGTATATCTGTATTATATAATGCCTGAATAACAAGATATCAATGTGATGGTACACTGTCTTCTAAAGTCAGCCTTTTAAATTATTCTATGTCCGCATTTTTCAATATTGAATTCTCTTTTCCTAGAAAGAAGCGCTTATATATTTATCTGAGTATTGTGATGTATTACACTTTTTATTATAATCATGCTTTTGTCAGATTTATGCAGTTTCAAGATAAGTATTTTATTAACAATTTTTTTTATCTAAAATAAATGATCGTTTTGCAGTATAAAAAATATTGGATTTTAATAATTTACCACTCCTCCATGTATTCCAGTAATAAAATCTACAGCAATGAAGACGCCAGCTATCACAGATATACACATTCCGACAATTTCTAAGGCAAACGAATAGCCATAGTCGAAAGGTAATTCAATTGAAATTTTTTCAACATTCTGTGTGAAAATTATTACAGCGGCAAGAATGAACACAACTGATCATGAAATAAAAAAAAAAGTTATGTGTATTAGTTTTCTATTAATTATATTTATGAATTATATTTTGGTATTCTAGCGCAATAATTCTAAAAAATATGTCAAGCTCTTAATCATACTAAATCATCCATCAACGGCATATTCATTTCATGACATAAACATTAAAGGACGACCATGTGATAATTTGGGTACGGATGTGGGCAGGATGATTTTAAAATGCATAACTGCTTAGAAACGTGGAAAGAACTTATCAGCAACGACACAATACGTGAGGATAAGTAATCAGCGATGTGAGGATAAGTAATCAGCGATGTGAGGATAAGTAATCAGCGATGAATGGCAGAAAAACTGTTCAACCTTACTATGGATAGGACAACCAATCGTTAAACAGTCCAAGGATGGGAAAATGCCCAGAAATTGTACAATAAACAGAATATCTGGTTTTTTGTATAAAGATATCTTACAATATCAGCCCCCGAACATAATTTGAGCTGTTTCTGTTTGGCTAAAGGTTGACATTCTATGATAGCAGAATGAATAAAACTCGATAATACAGAACGGAACTCGATGATACTTGTATAATTTCACCATTGTATGAAATTACGATAACATCTATACCTGGTATCTACATGTATTGTTATGACATGCGTGTATCCAATACAGTAAGACACCAATAGTTTACCGATGTTTAAATGTCATCAATTAATTAAGAAGATCCAAATCAAGGTTACAAACAAAAACTGAGGGAATCAAATGAACTCCAAAAGGAGGGTAACTGGGTAAGCGTCTCCTACTATGCATGCAATTAAACTGAATATGATATGATTTTAATATCATTTTGAAGAGACCATTTAGCTTATTTTGGGGGTAATTTAGCTAGCTCCTTTTGTAAGATTCAGTATTTATCTATTGCATAAAATGATTAATTTCATTTTTTTTTAATTCTATACATATTTTATTAATAAACAACTGACATAAACCGAAAATTAGGGGTCCCTGCAAATTACAAATTCTAAAATTAAAATCCATACAGGAAAGTATTAATTAAATGTAAATTGAGATCTAGGAACGATAAATGCAATATAATGTACGGACTTTCATAATATTCTTTGTATAGGTGACCCTAACATCCAGTATAATTATCATCTTGAACCTAATCGTCTATGTAATATAGCTACTGATAATAAAGCGTAAAACGCCATGATTTCCTAAAGATGACAAATACATTTACAAAAGTTCAGAAAGAAATAGCAAAATTATAATTATGAAACGTTATCTGCATAAAAAATACTATCTGACTTAGACTCGTCCTTTTCAGTGTTTTTCAATATAACTGGAGGCTCTTAAGATCTAGCGTCGATCAGCTGCATCTACAACAATGGCCACTTTTTAGTAAAAATCATCATAAAAGGGGAATAACTCTTTTAAGAGTTAACTGACAATTTCAGTCATGCTAACATATTTGTAGGTCTTTTTAAAGTTTATTTTTATCTATTGTAGTTTATAAGATAATTGACAAAAATGCATAAAAATAGTAAAAATTATCATTTAAAGGCAATAACTCAAATAACGAGTCCCCTGAAGGTTTCTGCGATTATGGATTATTTATAGATCTTGTCTTGTTGACCAATTGTGCTATTTAAAGTTTCTATCTATCTATTACAGTTTTCAAGATAATAGGAAAACATAGGACAATAACGGTTTTAACAAGGAGTCGAATAACGATCATGTCGATTATTTGACTTGTTAGTAGATCCTGTCTTGCTGATTATTTTTGCTTCTTAAAATTTCTATCTATCTATTAAAGTATTTAAGATATAAATTGGTAAAAATGGTCATTAAAGGGCAATTACTCAAATAAAGATTCGCATCAAGATTTCGGCTATGCTGACTTGTTTGGAGATCCTTTTGTGCTTATCATTTTTGCCTTTGTTAGATTAAATCTATCTATTATAGTTTTTAAGATATTAGACAATATCAACAAAAATTGGTACACATCGTCTTTTAAGGGCAATAACTCTAATAAGGAGTCGTCTGACGATTTTGGTCATGTTGATTTATTTGTAGATCTTGTCTTGCTGATCATTTTTGTTTTTTTTTAAGTTTCTGTCTATCTATTAAAATTTCGAGATAATAGGAAAACATAGGACAATAACGATTTTAACAAGGAGTCGATTAACGATGTCGATTATTTGACTTGTTAGTAGATCTTGTCTTGCTGATCATTTTTGCTTCTTAAAATTTCTATCTATCTATTAAAGTATTTAAGATATAAATTGGTAAAAATGGTCATTAAAGGGCAATTACTCAAATAAAGATTCGCATGAAGATTTCGGCTATGTTGACTTGTTTGGAGATCCTTTTGTGCTTATCATTTTTGCCTTTGTTAGATTAAATCTATCTATTATAGTTTTTAAGATATTAGACAATATCAACAAAAATTGGTAAACATCGTCTTTTAAGGGCAATAACTCTAATAAGGAGTCGTCTGACGATTTTGGTCATGTTGATTTATTTGTAGATCTTGTCTTGCTGATCATTTTTTGTTTTTTTTTAAAGTTTCTGTCTATCTATTAAAATTTCGAGATAATAGGAAAACATAGGACAATAACGATTTTAACAAGGAGTCGATTAACGATTTCGATTATTTGACTTGTTAGTAGATCTTGTCTTGCTGATCATTTTTGCTTCTTAAAATTTCTATCTATCTATTAAAGTATTTTTAAAAGATATAAATTGGTAAAAATGGTCATTAAAGGGCAATTACTCAAATAAAGATTCGCATGAAGATTTCGGCTATGTTGACTTGTTTGGAGATCCTTTTGTGCTTATCATTTTTGCCTTTGTTAGATTAAATCTATCTATTATAGTTTTTAAGATATTAGACAATATCAACAAAAATTGGTACACATCGTCTTTAAAGGGCAATAACTCTAATAAGGAGTCGTCTGACGATTTTGGTCATGTTGATTTATTTGTAGATCTTGTCTTGCTGATCATTTTTTTTTTTTTTTTAAAGTTTCTGTCTATCTATTAAAATTTCGAGATAATAGGCAAATATTTTAGATAATGGTAATTTGTATTCATTTAAGGGCAATAACTCCTATAAGAAGTCGTCTTACAGTTTCGATTAAATGAACAATTGGGTAGAGCTAAATTTTCTGAAAATGTTTTTACCCTGTCAGCTTTTCTCTATTTAGCGCTTTTCGTAGTAATAGGAAAAGCTCGCATTTTACCTTTTTGTTCTATTTTTAGACTTGTCGGCCATCTTGTATGACAGGCAGGGTCATCGGAAATATATTGTGGCCAAGTTTGGTTAAATTGAGCCCAGTAGTTTCAGAGGAGAAGGGAATTTGGAAAAAGTTAACGGACGACAGACGCCAAGTGATGAGAAAAGCTAACTTGGCCTTTGAGCTAATGGAACCCGTCGTGTTGCCAATCGAAAGTAAATTTCAAAAGTAAATTTTGATGATATCGCAATCAAAGAAAAGAGAACCGTACTGTTGCTACTAAAAATGAAACACATTCTGACAAATATACCATAACGGTCAACCTAAGTATGATGACATCCGTGAAACTTTTGAATTACATGCATTAGTTGTAAATAAAATCGATCTGCATAAGAATGTTGCTTAGAACTTCATCTTTTTTAAGCAAAACATGTTTTCTTTACAAGACAGATTATTGCCAAAATGTATTTAATGAAAAACTTACAAGCGGCAAATGTCATTCCAATAGCAGCTAGAACATGTAGAAGGACATATTTCTTCTCCTTGAAAGCAAACAGTTTTAAACAAATGGTCGCAGCAAAAAGAAAATCAGCCCGAGGATACCTGTTACTCTGCAAGAAAAAATATTTACATTCTAAAGTTATCAAACTAAATGTAAAAGTCTCTTATCTTTTTTTAAAATAAAAAAGTTATTTTTACAAAATAACGTACAAGATAATTTTATTAGCTACAACTGATCATACAGAATGAAAAAAAAGAAATCAAAACGTAAAAATTGTATAAAATATATTAAAGGGGATAAAAAGGGAAATGAAAAGTATAGAACGGTTTTTAAAAACCAATTTGAAAAATGAAAACCAAAATTGATCAAAGAGAAAAAAAAAAGGGAACATTAAAGTAAAAATAAATGAAATCAGTTAACCTTATAAGACAATTCTGTGATATGTGAGTCATTATATTTCCGAAGAATACAATTCTGTTATAGAATAATCGTTGCATAAAATCAGAAAAGAAACAGTTTTTTTTATACAATATTCATAAACATTGTAATATAGCTTGGTCACTCAACCGGAGACCGGGATTGAGAAATACTGTTACCTTTAGCTACACCGTAGGTTTATAGGACCCATACTTTAAGAGCATCCGATTGGTTGTGCCGAAGGTGTAAATTCACATCTACTGATCAGATTAGAGATCGTATTCCGATAGCTTCTATTAGGAAAGAGCCACACCTTGTGCAGTCTATAGACCTCGTGCAACAACTTTGGGCGGTCAATAACTGACCTGTTGCACGCACATTATTTATCCTACCCTCTTTTCCAAGTGGCAGTCCAAAACCTACATTTGTACAACTCAAGACTGATTCATTATGCTGAACCTACTAGCTTAATTCATTGTTTGATTCGTTTGCATCCTAAATATGTATGAAGTACATTTTGTCACTGGAATTTTAGTAAAAATTATACAGGGTCTGTATGAAATGATATTTAAAACGTTCTTAAACAAACATCACAACGGTCTTAATAAATAGCTTTCAGTATGAAAATACAAGATCACAATTCAAACCTTATTACCCAGGTCTTTGCGGAGATCTTGAGTAGCACAAAAAACTCGACCTTTATTTTTTTTGTTATTTCTTTTCTGTATATTTCTGGTTCTAAATAGCACAACCATAATGTAAAAAAGTACATTTTTTTATTAAGATTAAGTTCTGAAATTAATAATTATTGAAAATTATACAGGGAAAATGTACTATTAAGTAAAAATAAGAAATAGAAAAAGAAATTACAAATGTTTGAAATTTCTCTTGTATAATACGACATATCAATAGCTTCCGTACATTCCTTTATAAATATAATCATCTGAGCTACATGTACGTCCTCTATTAGGCTATAAGTTTAATATTTTTTTATTAATCAAATTCTGTATTTATAAAAAAACCCGTAAAAATAAGATGAAACAACACAATGTTCTACTAAAAAAAAGGCTAAAAACAAATAACTTACAATTCTGTCTACAAATTTGCCAATTTCATTAAAATACTAGATCAAATGTTTTCTGATAATATACAATCAAAGATGGGTACAGGTTTCACTTTGTAAATACAGCTGTTTCTCAAACCACGCCTCTTTTGGGGAGATATATAATATTCATAGATATGTTAATTTGTTAACGTACTGGTTCCCATTTATGATCTCTGTGTTTCATCTCATAGAGACATCACTTGGGAATGTAACCAGTATAGAAAAACATGGTAGCGCCTAAATTTTAATTCTTAGGAGGTCGAAACATTGAGGTAAGGGTAGTATAGAATTTTAGTACAAGTTTAAACTCTGAGAAGTTCAGGGCATATAAATGTTGAAAATATGCCGCACAGCCCTATATTTTGACCTTTGAATAAAATAGTAGTGCATATAAACTTTCCGTTCTGGGATATTATTTTTCACGAAACTTCATAGTAAAAGTGTCACAGTTTCAGCCGCAAAGGGAGTTCCTATGGGAAATTGCATTGTCTATATTTACAGAATTGCAACCTGCAGACCTCCCTTACCACTTTAAAACGAAGCATGCTTCTTTGTGCGAGAATCACAGGCAAACTATCAACATTTAAATTTGTCCTTGACCGGTAACAAATAAAGTATTAAGTAGAGTTATATTCCACTTTTGCTGAAAAGCCATAAATGTATGTTGATCTCTCTCGAGAACTAGAACCGCTGCCAATCAGTAGTACCATTCGTTTCGATAAGTGATAATTATAATGTATTTACCTGTATTTTATATACTTGTTTGCGATTTATATCAGCGTAAACGATCGAGTCCTTGCCATTCTATTGAACAATTATAAGTCGATTCATGAGCATGCATTTTAAAAATCATATTGCGTTTTTACCGGTATCCATAATTTATATAACATACAGAATTAAGCTGTCGGTAGAGTACATCTATTTCCTAAATTGAAGAACTCGGCTGTATCCTGGCAAAACGTCGGATCAATTGTCGAATGAACAGTAACACAGCGTACCCAAAGTCCACCATAGTAACTCTTGAAATATGGTGGCTCAATATTAATGAAATGTGAAGTCGAAAATCCAATTACATATACAGGAAAAGCTATCAACATCAATATAAAACTGATCATTAAAATTTACGAAACCATTTTTCAGTTACTGCACGAGATATAAAGAACATTTTTAATAAACAAATATATTCCAGACTGTATATGATATGACTATTTGCCATTGTTTGTTCTAGACTGACATTCTGAGATTTTTAGATTTTATGCTGATGCTCATAATATAACATTTAACAGGAATAAATTGCGCCGCTGCGGCGGATCTAGGATCTTTAAAAGGATGGTTCTCTTAAACTAAATATAAACTGCGAAGCTGAGCGAGGCAAAAATTTGTTTGGACGATTTTATGCTGAACAGTGATACATTTTTCAATAAAGGGGTAGAATGTACGTCCTTTATGTGCGAACTTTGAATTTCGTCTTACATTGCAATATTTTGAAAGCAGATCACTGAGAAATTTCTTAAACGTTACGAACATTTGAAATCGTTAGAGAAAAGTATTATATTAATAGGAAGAAATAAATACACGGTTGATATATTATCAATATCAGAATGGACAGAAACTCATGTATGATGTATCCCGATTTAAGAACAATGTACGATTTGGGCCCAATTGTACTTGAAATTGTCTTAGTTTGCTATATGAAATGTTGAAACTCTTTACTTTAACCAAAATTATAGCCAGTAAAGACAGTAAAATCAGTGAAATGTCGAATTTGCCAAAATGTGTGTCAATTTGACGCACAGATGATAAGAAATAATACACAAGCATCCCTTCATTTTTTGGAGACGCTTGTGTTACATGTATACCAATTTTACTGATATGTTTAAGAGATTGTCTTGTTGTTTGTGAAGTTTTGGTTAATCGCCATACTGGCGTCAATTAAATGACCTCACAATCAAATTACGTCATCAAGACTTTAAGTTAGCTAATATTGTCATTTTCATTAGAAGGTTAAAAATGAAAAATGATAATTGTATCATCCAATTATTTTATTTTCGAACAATTAACAGGGTCAAATAACTCCAAATTTTATCTTGTCAATTAATTTGAAAAATATTACATAGAATAATGGACGTGTTTACACTTTTAGCTTTATAAACGAATTGTCTCCGAATGAGATTTGACGTCATCAAAAGAACACTCTTTAATACTGACGTCATATTTTATAATTATGTAGCAAAATGTTGCAGAAATTTGTGAATTAAAGTGATGGCAGTCAAATTTGCATACAAGTTTACAGAGTAAATACGTCTATAAAGAAGATGTGGTTTTTTTGTTTGTTTGAGTAAACTGTTATTAATAAAATACATACATGTAGAAACATACACTACAATAATACATTTGATAGATTTAAAGGAAATCAACACAATATAGTACCCTTATAATGTTTGCACATAAATTATGCTAATCAAACGAAAAATAAAATGTATTCTAATTTTATATCAAATATCGTAAATCATGTTTATTATTGATGTAAAAATCCGTGAATGCTACAACCCTTCACTTAAAAGATAAAAAGGGGATTTTGCCAAACAAATATAACTTTTAGAATAAGTGAACCCTAAAGAGCAGACTTGATACAAATTATATATCAACTATGCATTAAGTAACAATTAGAAATAAACCTACTATATTTGCGAGTACTACTGATTGTATGCTACAAATATTGTCACTATCATATAGTATATCAGTTAACTTTATTACAAGAAAGATTGTTTACAATGGTGAACTATTTTAATGTGGTTTCTTAAAAATGTAGCTCAAATAGATTGTGTAGTCATTTCATTTATACAGGAAAAAAACTAAATTCATAATGTTTTAAGAATTACATCAACGGAAAAAATACTGTGCTGATTGTAATTGTGACAGCTAGTAGCATTTGTTAAGAATCTTATTGGAAATTCTTTAGAGTAATGAAGTAATAAATTCAAGAAAGTTGATCTTGCATGCAAATTGTGAATTTTGTTTATCTCATCTTGGTTGAAAATACTAGAAAAAAAGCCGTCAAAATAGAATGTTTAATTTAACACCTAATTTATATATATTTTCAACCCTATGGAAATTTGGATATCAACGTTTGCATTTGTTAATGACCACCACGGGTTGGAAAAATGAAAATATCTAATGAAGCAACTTCGAAAATATCTACAAAATGAATACTTATTAGAAGAATATAAATGCTACGTTCACCTTAAGCGAAATTTTCACAATAGTGACATTTTTGTTTCGATTGAAACGTTTTTTTGAACAACGTCAAAATCATCTTTTTATTGGGAACGTTGTGTAACGCTCAGTGGTCCAATTATCGTCACTATAAGTTCGGCAGTTTTTCTATAACCCGTATATAGTGAACTTTGTTCTTATGTTGTACTGTTACACCACTGTCACGCGTTAGGGGGAGGGTTTGGCGCCAACAAACTAGTATAACCTCGTCCAATTCTGTATGTGCCTGTCCAAAGTCAGGAGCCTGTAACATGTGTAATTCAGTGGTTGTCGATTGTTGCAGTATATCATATTTGTTTTTCGTTTATTGG